CAACAACTTCGAAGAGCGATCTACTCCAAGTTTTGAAGCAAGAATGGGCGAAAATCCCACAATCTAAAATTGACGAGATGATTGTCACGATGCCCCAAAGGATCAACGAACTCCACGAAGCAAAAGGAAGATCTACTAGATATTAATTAAATTATAAATATATCAATTCATGTGAATATGATTGAAAGTTTTCATTTTTTCTATTTACTTGTGACCACGCTGTGTACATGTGGCTTTTGGAATCACACTATAAAAGAAATCCATCCATTCATAATACTTCACAGCTCTTTAAGCAAAACTCCAACATTAACATACATAATACTTTAATCTATTTTGAATCACAGTTCAAATTAGGAATTTGTACAAAGTTATTTGATTTACTATAATATAAACATTTTACTAATAATACTTGGTAAGCAAGGCTTTTGAGGATTTGTTTGGTCCTTATAACTGTAGGAAGTACATCCACACCAACATGCATCCACACATAGTGCATGTTTACCTTTATAAAATATGAATTTTTGATATTTGTACTGGTTGTTTTAAGGTAGCAGAAACAAAAGAAAGGCCGTTCGGAAACTTTATAACAGCATCTCACTATGTATGCAACATTTTGTTAGACAAAGGTTTTTATAATACAATACTAGGTCTTAAGAGTTAAAATATTTTTTTTTCAACATGTTTCAACAATAACACTTGATAACATGAAACAATTTTCAAAATTGAAAAGGCTTTATCTGTTGTTTTACACTATAGACATTATGCTATGAACTTTTACATTTGCATGTTGTATTATTTGATCTTTCAAAATGTCTTTTTAATGAATGAAATCATATTAAATTAGAATGTAACAATACAAATTATAAAACAGGGTACGATATATTTAAGTCATGTTACCTCTTGTTTAGCCATCCAAGTGTCTGCTTGTTCTGTGTCACGATAAAAAAGCTGAAGATCCATACACTGTTCATAAAGGATTCTTCTTTCTTCCCAAAGTGACTGCAAGCCTTGCTTCTCACTTGTCAATGTTCCCAGCTATTAAAATAGTTTTAATATTGTTAAGTGTCTAGAGTTAATTAGCATTTTTGTTTTGTTCAATAATGTAAAAAAAGATACTGAAACTATAATAGTATTTTATACATATCTTTTGAGTCTATTAACTGGAGTGAAAGGGTTTCTGAAGTTTTATTATTTTAAAAGTATAACATGTATACACTGTGAATTAACTTTAACAGCACACTGTTTTCACCCTGTTCTCCAAATTCAATTACATAATTCCCAATGAAAAAATGGCAGCATTACAAAAAGTATACAAGATAAAAACCAACTCCCATTCCTACCTACATTCAGTTTTTCTCATAAAACACAAAAAACTCCATTCCTTACTCTTAATCCCCCCCTAGGAGGATCTACTCCTAATCTCTGATATTTATATATTCAGTATACAATTCTCATTAGTTGGAAACCCAAGAAATTCATATAAGGGTAGAAATAGAATCTAAAATGAGCAATTCATAGCACAGAGACATCATGTGACACAGAGAAGTAAAGATTGAGAATTTATTCAAATACTTCCTTTTGAAATTAAACTACTAAAACTTGGATAATACAAGTATTTGATTTGATGCTAAGTATACGGATACTGACATACAGCACTGTGCAAAAGTTAGGACAAGAGAATATTTATGGGCCTAATCCTTCCATGCCATTACAGAGTGCTTCACTGACTGCTGTTGACAAATGAATGAGCCAGGGTGAGAATACTTATTATTCTTTAGAATTCCTATATACTTGTACCAAGGGAATGTCATAAGAGTTCTGCTTGAATGAACATACTGATCAAATTTAGGGTCTGAAATAACTGGCATGGTACCCCCATGCAGTGTCTTAACTATATAGAAAGCTAGCATATGGTACCGGTATATGCCAGAAGAAATCAATTTAATAGCACCCCACAGATAAACCTTGATAAAAACACTGTTTAACACCATACATTAAGTTTTGGTGTCATGCCACAGTCCAAAAAACATGGAACTGTCAGTAGAGCAAAGAGTTTGCAAAAATGCTTTATGTGATGCTGGTTGGACTCTCTGACAAATTGCTGCAGACTTGAAATGCTCCCCAAATACTGTTAGATCGTGAGACCAAGACAGGTACATTTGAAAATAGGAAAGGAAGAGGCAGAACACCTAAACTAAATGACACTGATGTTAAGTATCTTTGTTTATACAGCCTTCGGGACAGAAGGAAGACTGCCACTGATCTCAAGCATGAGATAAATGACCATGTACTAATTAACAAAAAAGTGTCCAGATATACAGTATCAAGACGACTCAACAAGAATGGAATATTTGATCATATAACAGCTAAAAAAATACCTTTACTTAAATTTCAAAATATTGTCAAGAGACTGAAATTAACTAAAAAGTACAAAACTGGACTGTTGATGATTGGAAAAGGGTGTTATAGATGGATGAGTCCAAGTTTGAAATATTTGGTTCTATGCATAGGTTGTACATCCAGTGGAAGAAATTTGAAATATACTTATCTCAATGCATAGCACTTACCATGAAGCATGGGGGAGGTAGTGTTATGATTTGAGGGTGTTTTTTTACTGAGATGACATGAGATATTTGCAAAATAGATGGAATAATCGACCAGCGCAAGTACCATCAGATACTGATCCATCATGGTATACCATATTATTGATAAAAGATTCTACTACCAAGAAGATAATGACACCAAACACTCATCCAACCTATGTAGAAATTACTTAACTAAGAAAGAAGCTGCTGGAGTCGTTCAAGTAATGCAATTGCCCCCACAGAGCCCCAATCTCAACCCAATTGAGCAGATCCGGGATTTGATAGATCAAAAAATTAACAAATCAAAGTTACTTCCAAAGAAACTTTATGGGAGAGTATTAGAGACATTTGGAATAAAATCCCAGAGGACACTTTGATTAAATATGTTGCAACAATTCCTGAAAGACTGTCTGCAGTTATTAAAGCAAAAGAGGGACACATAAAATATTAACTGTTTGCTGACCTCAAGCACTTCCACTGAGCTTCTGTTGTACTAAATATGAAGACTAATAAAATTATGATGTTTCATCTGTGATTTACTTTCCATTGTTCTTTGAAAGTAGCCTGAAATCTAATTTTTGACTTTGTCCTAATACTTTTGCACAGTACTGTACGTTGATAATAAAGTTGTTTCAATTTTGAATGTAACCCTGTAAAATGTTTTACAAAGTTACATTCAAAATTAAACAAATTTATTATCAATTTATGTCAATAAAGATTGTATTATTGAATTTTTGTAGTGCATATTGGTGTATAGAAGACATTATTACAAGAAATAAACAACCTTGTAACACCAAAATGTTGTTTTTATTTAAATAGACACTGAATGTTTTGCTTTACATCTCAAATTTGTTTCCTGATTAAACGTTGCCACTATAAGATTTATTAATACTAGAAATAAACTATTTTATAATACCGGGAATAAATGACTTTATAAAACCAAAATGTTTTTATTGAATTAGACACTCAATTTTTTTGCTTTACAGCTTCTTCAGGAGTGTTCATTAAAACACAAACCAAAACTGACATTGTATGTTGAGGATTTAGATACAACTAGTGTTAGAGAAAATAACAGATAAAATAGTTTTATGTAATAAAAACTTTTGATATTCATTTAGGTCATAGAGGTTATGCAGATGAAGTATAAAGACTAAGATGAATAGAAGACTTAACATGAAAATCACTTTTCACTCAGACTAACCCAGTAAAGGCTAAAAAAAAAAAAAAATTACAATTTACTTGAAATGCTTACTAAAAGCTTGCCAAGTTTGATGAAGATAGATTTACTATATTCAAAGTTATAATATGTAAAGTTTTAAGGTTAGTCAAAATGCACGGAATTGAATGAACACTTTCTATAATACTGACCAGTACTTACAAATTCAAAATTACCCTTTATCTTAATTTAATTAACATGTTCCTCATTCATTAAATAACACAAAACTTTTCTGTTAAACAATATTGTTAGACTGTTATATTATCACACACACACTTACTAACATATACGTTAAAGTTTAAACCTTGTGCTATTTCATCCAATATTTTATTCTGTTAACTCTGAGAAAGGGAAATAGCCTCAAATTTTAATTATACTATTAAGTTCACCTTGCACTAGAAATATTTAGCTATTTTTTTTACCTTTTCTCTGACTTCATCAGCTGCATAATGTCCTTGTTCTAATAAGCTCTGTCCAGCTTCTATTGTTCCAAGAAAACTGTCCCCTCGAGCATCAATTTCTCCCTAAAATGAAGATATTTTGAGAAAACAATAAATTTCAAGCTTTTCTTAAATAATATACTTTAATATTAATTCAATAACAGGTTAATTATCATAGTTAAGAATAACTATAAACTACATAATTAGTTTGCATTAAACAAAGAATGAATACTTTATAATTAAAAAATAGTTTTTCAGATAAACAGAAACTGGATAGTATATTCACTCAGAGAATTTGCAAGTTATACAATTATAGGCATTACTAAATATACATATAAATAGACATGTTAATAAGGACTTACACCGTACTACTTATAGAATAATGTCCATGTTCTCAAATGTAGCAGTTTTAATAGTAAATGAATAGTACAAGAACTTAGTTCTATCTTGTATTTATGCATTTACCCTATGCTCTTGATGCCTTTCCAACAGAGCTTCAGCTCCAGCTACATCCTTAGCAAGCTCATCAGCTGAAATTATGCTTTTCATGTCATTAATCCAGGACACAAGATCTCGAAAGTCTGCCAGAAAACGATGGAGATAGTATGACTCATCCAGCCGTTGTCGTCGTTCTTGTGCCTGTCAGATGATTGTAAGGTATTATAGTTAATGTTACTAAGTCTAGAAGCTATAAATCATGTAAAACATTTTAATAAAAAATTTTCAAAGGGCATGGCAACATTCTACAATTAACGTGACATAAATGAAACATACTTAAAATACAATATAATAGAAAATAAACACTACTGATTTTGTGCCAAATGAACGTATGTTATTAGAAAGTACAGTATTTTTTATATATATATATTAATTACTTATCAAAAGTAAAGATAAAAACAATTTTTAATTTAAATTGTAAAGAAGGAAGTTTGTGACAAAATTTATACTTTGAATGATACAAACACATACACATCTATAATAATATAAGGGCATGTCTGTAGGTCTGACAGTGACCTCCATAGCTTCAAGAGGAAAGAACCTAGAAACCTGAAATTTTGCACTCATACTAAGTGGGCCCTAAGAGTGTGCACCTGGTTATTAGTTATCCAAGTGCGTGTGCACATACTCAAGCTAGCAAAAAGCCACATAGAAAAGAAGTGTGACCACCATAGCTCCAAGAAAACCAACAAACCTGAAATTTTGGACCCATACTAAGCAGACCCTGAGGGTGTGCACCCAGGTATTACTGATCTACATGTATGCATGCACATCTTTTTAATGAGGCAAGCTAGCGAAAAATCACATAAAAAAGAAGTGGTTCCTTATATAACAATTTCTAATATACAGAAAAGCCAGTGCATTTTGGTAACAATGCATTCCACAAATGGATTTATGTACTGAAAGTATAAAATGAAATGTATATATATTACAAGATTTAAAAAATATTTGTTGATTTCTTAATTTAGAGACTCAGTTGATTAACCCTATCACCCCGAGTATCCTTTACTGTGCATGACACGGTTTTAGTGTCTTACATTCAAAATTTTATTAAAATAGTTTTGTTTATGTTATACTAATTAGAATAGAATAAAATCTTAGCTAATAATTAATATTTTAATAATATTAAATTCTAATTTTATTAGGCAATATTAAAAAAAAATCTGAATTTCCACTAGTGTGACCCACGACATTTTCTCTTAGCATGTTATCATCCCTATTTTATCCACCATCCCTTGAAAAAGTATTAAATTAAATGTAAATTACTGTCTATAACATGGTTATTGCTCAGACAAACCATATTTTTTATAGTTATTAATTTTGTTTGGTCACAGAGCTATCAAATAGAAAATCAGACCCCTCTTGCCACATCTTTTCTTTCACAATTTATTGACAGTTCTCTCTTACATTTCATTATATATTAACTATAACCAATAAAAAGTCAAGTTTTTCATCTATCAAATGATGTATTGTATAACGGTGTCTTCTGAACAGATAATCGTCATTTTCACTCAAGAGTACCACCATCGTTCCCATGGTAAAGTTAACGACTAGCTTGGATGAATTTGTAAGGGCTGTTGTCGCATAGTTAGAAAGGAAAAAAGATTTGAGAGGTAAGGGAAGTTGTCTAGTTTTGCATGTTATTAGTCTATATTCTTTGGTGCATTATTTAATTAAATAAACATTATAAAGTGTATTACTATTAGTACTATAAAAAATTATGCTTAACTATCCTCGACAAATGAGATCAAGAAAAAAAGGAGATTGGGTAAGTACTTTATTTCTTATTATTCATATTTATTCTTTATTTAAGACTAGATTAGGTAAAATAAATAATAATTATAATTAAAATGGTTTACGAGCCATGCACACGAGCAGCTCATGGGTAATGTAATTTGATAGTGTAAGGTGAACTGTACGTTTCCCAAGTGATTTAAAACTTATAATGGTGCGGATAGTAGTTAGACACAGTTGAAAGGGCAATAAAACAACAGAATTTAATTATAAATAGATGTATACTGTTATGTAGTTTCATGTTACAATTTGAAGTCATTC